CATTATACACTTTCTTTTCTTTTGTGCAATGATAGAATTGCATCTAAATAAACAATAAAGGAGTAAATTAGTGCTTCTAAAGGGTATTTTTTTCTAAGGCCATTAACAGCTGCATATTAAAAGGCAATGAAGATAAACAATCCCTTTGTTGATGATTTTATGAATCATTAACAAGCTATGGTTTCAGGTAATACAATGCATGTGATCGGAATCGCAAGGAAAGCTACCAGGATAGACAATCTCTGACCTTTCAGATATTTTTGGACTCCAATTGACATCAAATCAGTCAACATCAATGTCAGAGACTGGAATTACACATAGCAACATCTGGAAGACTAAAGATTCCTCTTTCCAGACTAGAAAACAACTGTAGAGGAAGTATCCATGGAATTATTTGAATAGGAACAGTATTAACTGAACAGCAACATCCTCTAAAAGGAATGTAAGCTATTAGAAATATATTTTATTTATTTTAAGAAATATGTAAAATTACATCATTTTGAATTCCCCAATTTTCAAGATTCTATTTGCCTGATTTCCCCAACGTTTCCAGCTTTGTGGACCAGTGTGTATGTGTGGGGGAGAGGGGATGTTCCACATAAGCAGCTGGCAAGCATGCGCATGCACACGGAGCTCCATTTCCACAAGCGGTGTGCACAAGTGCCTGCTGCTCATGCAAATGGAGCGCACATACATACACTCACCCACTGCTTGTGCAAGTGAGAATGCGTATATGCGCTCACTGGCAGTTTCTGCAGTCCAGCTGTAATCCCTTCCTGCCCCGGCCCACTAGTGGCTGTGGCCCACAAATTGGGGACCCCTGCTATATGCTACTTTCTCATCTCTATCATATCTCATAGTCCTAATACAAACTTTGCTTTGCTATTTGAAATGATCAGCTACTTTTCATTCAGGATGGTGAAACTGATTTGTGTAAATATCATCCCAAGATTTATGTTGGTTTTCCCAAACACTCCCATTTAATGGACTATTGACTCTGAAGGACAAAAGATCAACAGCAAAAAAACTGATGATGCTATAGGGTATGTTGAAAAGAAAGTATGACAAATTTTATGTAAATATCTTGCCCTCGAATTCCGAGGATTCTTAGAAGTGTGTGCATGGTCAGTTTCAGTTGATAGATAATATGCAAGAGGATTTTGATGTAGCTAAGAATTCTACCCAGAATTCCTATTCCAGCTGCATATGCAAACATGTCTTGCCTGAGCCTATTCAAACTGCGGCTGATAACATAGCTACAACTTATGTGACTTGCGTACTTATTGTTCTAAAGGGCAAAACTAAACTATGGCTACTTCATGGTACAGAACATCTATCTAGCACTTCTATGGTTACATGATATTTGTTTGTTATTCTAGCTGTTATTGCAAAGTGCTCCAAACATCACAAGCAGATTCACATTTGTATGAAATTAATGCTTTTTAAATGCTGGTCTGTGCATAAGTGTCCATAATATGAATAGAATAGAATAGAATAGAATAGAATAGAATAGAATAGAATAGAATTTTATTGGCCAAGTGCGATTGGACACACAAGGAATTTGTCTTTGACGCATATGCTCTCAGTGTACATAAAAAGAAAAAAATACATTCATCAAGAATCATAAGATACAACATTTAGTGATAGTTATAGGTTACTAAATAAGCAATCAAATCATACTAGGAAACAAAACAATATAAATTGTAGATACAAGCAACAAGGTGGGAGCAGATAGGTAATAGGAAGGATGAGATGAATAATAGTAACACACTCTTAATGGATAGTTTGACAGTGTTGTGGGAATTAGTTGTTTAGCAGAGTGATGGCATTCGGGGAAAAACTGTCCTTGTGTCTAGTTGTTCTGGTGTGCAGTGCCCTATAGAGTCCTTTTGAGGGTAGAAGTTGAAACAATTTATGTCTAGGATATGAGGGGTCTGTAGACACTTTCACAGCCCTCTTTTTGACTCGTATACTGCATTCTTACATCCAAAACCATGAAAAAAAATCTTCTTCTGCCCCAGAAGAGGTAGAAAAATTCATAACAGCACAATAAAGGTTGAGACAAGAGTTCTGTTTCTGAATCCCAGAATATTAGTTAGAAAGAGTAAAAGGGGAAAAGAATTATTAGAGTACAATATTAAGAACCTTACTTAGATTAAAATCTGATTTGCTGCTTATCTTCAGAGTAAACTTGTACTTTAGCAGATATATCTTATGCCCTATGATCTTGCATATAGAATTACAATTTTAAAGGTGAACAGTCTTCTTAATGATCAAGGACAACATTTTTAAAGGTGCATTAAGTAAATGAAGTGCTATAGCAATGGCATCATCTATAAGCCATATTTCAGGAAATACATTCAACAATGTATAACAAAGATATGTAGTGGCGCTGACCTCTTGAGCATCTGAAGGTTTATTACTTTCAGGAAATAATAAATGTGCAATATGGATGTAGCCCTTTTCCTTAACAATTACTGTAGGGTAGTCTATAGAATCTACTACTTTCTACTTGCAATGCACAACGAATCATCACATGGTTATATATTTCTAATGGATTCACAAAATTGGTACTTTCCTATTGGTTTTCCATAAGACATGGCTTTGTGCTTGAGTGGGTTGTGGCAGGGCCCATAGCTTGGTTATGCTGAGTGCTGGACTCTGGCATTGTAATTTTATTTTCTTGCTGCTATTGGCTTTATATTTTTTGTTTGTCTTTATTATTTTTAATATTGTGAGCTACCAATAGTTACTTATGTGACATAGACAGTCATATAAATCCATTAAATAAATAAATGAAATAAATAGACTGTAATTAGCAATGTGCTCCAGAGCCTTGGAACTCCAGATGTTGTGCTATAACAAACTTGCTTCCTTAATCAGATTTTTTACAAGATGCTATGAAAAAAATTCTCAGCTCTTGGGATGGCAAGATAAAAGGGATAACATTAATGGAATCATTCCCAAAAGAACTTAGATGTTATATAATTGCAAAAAAAGCTGGATATCCACAAAAGAATTAAGACTTGGTACGCAGGAGTGTAAAATGATGCTCTTATTTCATTATGGACCATATCTGGTCACACTTTTCAACACTGGTGAAATTGCCTCAAGATTGGAAGGGTCCTCACTTAAAGCTTCAAGTAGTATCGTAAGCATGAAGCTATTATAGGAAGAAATATCCTTCTGGGTTCAGCTCCAAGTGGGAAAAAAGACACTGGAAACATGGAGACTGCTTGGAAAGATGGTTTAATGGTGGACAGGATCACATGGTTTGAGTTCCTGAACAGAAAAGGGGCCGAGATACAGTGAGTCCCCAGGTTTTATGCTATCTCTGGCTTTGAACTTCCTGGGGCCCAGAAAAAGTATCCGGATTGGTTGTCAGACTCCCAGATGGTGGGGGTCTTAGCTAGCCTTGCTGGCTGATGTAATCTTCCCAGGTGCCATGTGGTGAGTTTTTGTACTAGATGGGTCTCATTGTGTTAGTTTCTGTTGCTATTGTGTTGCAGATTATGGTCCATTAACAAAGGGGTGTGTGGGGGAGGCAGAAAGCTGCTTAGTCTTTAAAACATGTTTCTCCATTTGTCATCCAGGGGAATATAATATTCTGCCTTTTTAATATTTCCTAAAATATTTCATTCTTCCAGGAAAGGGGTAGGTGCTAACTTCCTACACTATTAAGGCTTCAACTGAAGACCTACAGCATTTCCAGCATTTCGAATTTTGGGGTAGCACTCATCATTAAAAATGCATGAAAAATGGCAGTTCAGATAATCATCTTCATATATTTAGTGTAGCTTAGTGATCCTAATTTTTTTTAAAATTTCCAACAAGTGTCTCATGCAATAACATACTATAATTTGTAATTGCCCATTATTACTAATATATGCTTGTTCATTATTACCAATTATACTTATTCCCTAAAATATTGCTGATAAGGAATGTTTCCCCTTTATTTTTAAAATAAATATTTATTGTGCTATGACATTCCTCCATTTAAGCAACATTTCCCTTTTATAAAAAATAGCTTAAATTAGCATAATTGAGAACTAAAACAAAATAAATATGTTAATAAGATGTCTCTTACCTCAAAGTTATAAGTGAATGAATATTGAGCTGTGATAAATTAATTTGCTGGACAAATTACTATCCATATCAAAATTATTTTTTAAAAAAGATGGGTGGGCTCCAAATGAATGACACATGGCCATGAATGACACACCCAGAAAAAATGTGAGTGAATCCAGTAATCTGTATCTAAAATAAGGAGTTTTGCATTAAATACCTGCAGAAGAAAAAGAATCTACTGAAATTCATCAGAAGTTATTATGCAGCTTTTTAAAATGCAAACAGCATTTAAAAAAAAATCTTTATGGCTTTTTTTTGTGTGTGAAATATTATATTAAAATGATGGAGCCTGAGCTTTAATGCCTGGTACTCACTGCTTATCTTCAAGCCAAGTCTGAGTGGATGTGCATTATGTCAAAGAACTCTATTGGACCCCAAAACACTTCACAAGTGGATAAAGGGATCTCTTTCCTCTCCTGCTTTCCCTTTAACTAAACTGCGTCTTTGGTAGCCAGGGCATCTGAAATAATTACTTACCACCAGATGCCTAAATAAGTAATTATCATTGAGTCCTGCATGTAAAGCATACATCTTTGAAAGGGAGCGTGCACAGCTAAAGCAACGAGTTGGAGAAACAATTCAGACTTTCATCAGCAACGTGCGCGGTTTGCAGTACTTGAATCCGTGCGCGGGAAGACGACTCGTCCAGCTATGATTTATTGCCTCATCGTTGCTCCCTCCTCCTACTGTATTTTCCATTCTTGAGCTGTTAAAAGGCTGAGAATTCCTCACGAGGGCCAAGTGGGAGTGACGTTGCTGAGAAAAGAGTCGGCATGAATTGAGCCCCATTCTGGTCCCCCCCCCCCCATGCTTTAGATGGCGATACGACCTAAGAGGCACGAACCACGTAAGCTACACTTTTGTCGGAATGGGTTTCCGTGGACGCTGCAGTTCCTCTAAATACTTTTGTCCTCCCGATTCGGCATAAATCCGCTTTAAGTATGATTCCTCCCCCCACTCCCCGTGTCCTCCCTTCTTCGCGCTTTCCAGCACAGCTGCACGCGGTTCCTTTCTCAGCGCCTGGGGGAGGCTTTTCTCAGCCGCGTGTGTTTGTTTTGGGGAGGCCGAGCGGTGCCTTCGGGCGATACCCCCCTTCCCTTGCCCGCCGCGGATTAAGGCACAGCAGGAGCTCCAGCCTCTTTCTCTTTGGGTAGGGAGAGACTGTGGGAGGGGGAGACGCATTTGATCAATCTCTGCCGGAGGACAAAAGAGAAGGGAGAAAATACCGAGTTTGCACGGAGGCGCTGCTCATCTCCTGGCAAGGAGGAGGAAGTGGTGGCAAAGCCAGAGACACATCTGCCCCTCCCCTCTCCCCCCCCTTTCTTTCTTTCTTCCTCTTCTTTCGGGAAAGCGCCTCGGTTGGGATAACCGGCTTCCGGCAGAAGAAGGTGGAAGTAGAAGGCGGCGGTGGCAGCGGGTGCTTTTATGCCTTGCCCCAAACAAGGGACTTTTCTAAACTGAGAAAAGCGGGCTAGGTGCTGGGAGTGGGAGGTGCAGCGATCGTGGCAGCTAAACTCTTTCGCCTCCCGCCGGGTTGCTTCGCCCACTGCCTAGCGAGGCGAGAAGGCATCTCAGGATGGCTCCTCCTTGTAAGTTGCCTCTCTGTGTGTGCGGGTGAAGCGCTTGCCCTCCGTTTATATCTTGCTGAACGGGGCAGTCGACAATCCGTCTTCTTCCAGGTCTTGTCGCCGCTGGATTCTACCCATTGTCTTAAAGCCACTGAGGAAACGGGACTCGCTTTCTTCCGAGAGCTCCTCAGCCATCCACGTCCCCTGGACTAGCCCAACCTATTGTCAACTGGAAGAGAACGGGAGCTTGTTTCGTCCTTAGACCTGCCCATTGGAGTTCTCCACTGGATCACACCGCAGGAATTCGAGGCTCGTAGAATTTGGAAGCCTCCTCCTGGGTGGATTTGTTCCCTAATAAGCTTCCCTCAAGCCCTCGTTTAACTTAAGTTACATTTGACTAAGAGGGGGGAAAAAACAACCCACGATCTTCTTCAGAGCCATCCTTCGCTGTCGTTGATTTCTGCAACGTTGAGCATGCAAGGGGGTGAGGGAGGTTGGAGGTGGGCGTCTGCTTGTTGAGTCTTTTGATTTCTCCCTCCTGGACTCTCCTAAGCAGTTAGGGAGAGTTTGGCTTCAGCAATCAGGTTTTGCTTGTTGATATTCTCCCGCACGCACGCATCCACCCCACGCGTATGCAAACACACACCCTTCCCCGTTATTGCGCTGCTGGACTCAGCTCGTTTTTTGGCTTCGCGTGTAGGAAAAGAGTCAGTCGAGGACGCAGAGGAGACGCAGGCGCTTGCCTCTCTTGCTCCTAGTCTGAATGAAACCGGATCGAGAGAAAAAGTGACTTTACGGACGGGATTTAAAGGAAGTGAAGTGCGGGGACCGAAGCGGAAAGGAGAGCCCGCCTTTTCGCTGTTCCCCAACGGGCGCACCCGAGAGACCAAAGGGCGCGCAAACGGCTGAAAAGGCAGTTGCCGAAAGGCGCGATGGCGAGGTTGTGGAAAGCGGAGGTAGTGGCTGCTGGAGCGCTTTTACTTTTGCAGTGCTTGGCTGACCGGGTACAATTAATCGGAGCCATGAAACCGAAGCAGAATCTCGGTAAGGACAGAAGCGCGCCTGGGAGATGGGTGGTGGTGGTGAAGAGTTCTTGTGGGTGGGGGAGAGGTGAACCCTGAGCAAACGAGAGTGTCTTCATCTCCAGAGTGGATTTTTCCTGGTTTAAGCTTGTAAACGTCCACAGTGGGAAATCATTTCTTATCTGAGGGCTTGGGGTTACTAACCAGATTTGTTTGATAGCCAAGGGTTTCACCTCAAAGCAGAGGTGTTAAAAAGGAAACATTTCTTTCAGCTGGAGGATTCATGTAATATATATGAAGTGTTTTGGAACATGTGCAGAGTTCTTTTCTCTTGTTGGGCAACAACAGGAAGACTCTGTCAAATGTGACTATAAAGTTATTGAGATGGGGCTCAGCTAGGAAATTTATGGAATGACAGAACAATTAACATGCTTCCTTCTGAATCTGGCAGGATATCACAGTGTGTGTGATGGAATCACAGTTTGATTAGGCTCCTGGGCACATCCTGGGGACCACTTTTCTTGTCTCTCAACTAGATTCCTGTCACACACTCTTCTCTGGATGGTGGAGTTCAAGAACATTAAGGGACAACTCAGTACTATGGATATGATCTTACATCCTGAGGAAGGTAATTTTAGATGAGAGGACTTAGATAAGATGGTGGCCATGTCTCTGAAGCCAAAAATGATTACTCATTAACAGGGTGATGTTGCCCTACCTTTGAACAGTGGGAACATTGGAGCAATTTATTATACTTTTTCTTGAAGAAGGTATTGGCACCTGTTGAATAAATTTTGTCTGCTTGAAAGGTTTTTAGCAAGAGTGTTCAAAATCATCTTTGGGTGTTTAAAGCAACCTAGAATTGGGAAGAAGTTGGTTCAGAGCCTCAATCCACAGGGAAAGTTTCTGGATGACTAATGGCTAGTTGATGTTACCCAACTTCGTAGGCTAATCATGAGAATAAAACTCGGGTGGTTTCTTATGCAAGCTGTCCTGTGGTTTATAAGCAATGAAGCACAATTACAATTTTGGAGGGGGGAATGTTATGTTTTCATGAATCATCATGGCCACTTTTGATTCTAAAATATATTTGTGAAACAGGAGTTAAATGGACTAACTTTTTAATGTGCTGAGAACAGCATTGTTTATTGAATCTTCTCCTTATCACCCAGTCATTGAAAGTACAGAAGCAGGAATTAGATATCCTGCTTGCAGTAAGAATTTGGAATAATCTTCAACGTTTGACTGCCAAAGAGCGCCAGTTCCTCCCACTAAAAGATAGGAAAGATAAACACAATTGTTCAACAGCATTTGGTATCATAAAGTTGGCTCGTTCCACTTGCAGGTCACTTTGACTGAAGAGAATCATGCAGGAGAAGAAGACTGGTTAAAAACAATCAGTTCCCACCAGAGGTATTGGACTACAATCCCCAGAATTCAAAACCAACAGGGCTTACTGGTTAGAATTGTAGCAGTTGAAGATATGACAGGCAAATAGCACACCACTATTTACACTATGAATTTTTAATTTCTTGTGATATTCCTCAATCCATGTTATAAGCACACAGCCTCACTGAACATGTGAATCTTTACCTTCCTAAGATGAAAAAAAAAGTGTGTTTCAGAGCACCTATTCCTCTTCTATGTGGTCTGTGTTCAGCTCCATATCTTTACCAAAAAAAATCTGCTATTCCATTGAAGATGATGAGAAGAGGGTTCATTATCAAACACACAGACAGAATCTCATTCTCTGGCTTCCTGTTCTTCTAGGTTGCAAACAAGAGTTTTATTGACTGGTGTAAATATGCAGTGCAGTAGTGTGGTTTCACAAAGTTGTACATCCTTTTCAGATAAAGCAATATACTGTTTCCTGCCTTTTCATTTCCTTGATTGGGAACAGAGGTTTAAGGAAATGACAAGACTTGTAGGAAGGTCTGCTGAAAGCTTCATCAAAAAAAGTAATCTTTCCCAAGCATTTAACCACACAGCTGGCGGGGTGATACCCACTCTACAGGAGATTATGCCCTGTGGTCTCATCTTCCTGAGTTACTGTGCAACTCTGCAAAGTCTTCCCGCATTTATTCAAAACCAAACTCTACTGAGTACCGCCAGATTTACTCTTTAATAATTACACGGGATGGCATTCTTGGTCTACTGCCAACAAAGGTAACCCAAAAACTCAAGTAATGTAAACACAGAATTTGTGAATAAAATGATTTTATTTTGGTAGGTCATATTTGTATTGCATGCACACAAAGAGAGGGAAATGGTGAGCAGTGAAAGACTGTAAAATTCAACTGCAGTTCTCATATACAACTGCTAAATATTGTGTATAACATTGGTGAATGGATAAAGAAAACACATATTTTAAATTGACCATAAGAATTAAGGTGGGGGGGGGCAGGGGGAGGGGGTTGTTAGCTGATGGTGTTTTGATTTTTTGGGCTTTAGGAGTTGAGGGGATTTAAAAGGTAACATGGATTCTTTAAAGCCTTATAGAGATTTAAGCTTGTATTTTGCTCCTTAAACATTTCTGGAAAAATTAGCCTGTTCTTATGAAACATTTTTAAGGGTTGAAATAGATGTTCCAGATTACTCTGAAACAAAAAAGCAGTGACTGAGATATTTGCAGGCCCACAAGGGTGCAAATTTCATGCCTAGATAGTCTACTTCAGTCAATTCTGATGTGGATTTCCTTAGGAATGCTCTTTGCTTTTTCAGTGAAATACAGTTATATTCCTTAGTGTTATGCTATTTGGGTCAGCTCTATGTCCATTTATTTTTTTTTTATAGAAAGTTATTGGGTTAGTGGAAAAAAAAGGTTGGCAAGTGATATATATTGGCCTTCCCCAGCCTTTTCACTTTCTGGAACTGTTGGACTACAGTAGCAAATCATTCTTGGACAACGCAGAAAGCAATATTTTGAAAATACTGATGACATATATCACACGGGAGAATAAACAGGTGAATATCATCAAACCTGTACAGTGTGGCATCCTTGTATCCATTAATATTGACAGCTGCTTTCTCAAGTGGATTTTTCTTTAAAGTTGTTGCTTTCTGTTCACTCTACCTATATAATTAACAAGGCTACCTGAGATATGCAGAATTTTTCTGGGATTTAAACTCTTATCTCTTAAATACAGCATCCAGTCATTCATGTGACCATTACAATATGAAATTAAGTGTAAGCATGCATGCCCTTCATTTCACTCATTCACTCATTCCCAAAAAAATAGCATGTTAACACTTCATAGCGGTTTCAATCATTAGTTATTCAAGAACAACTAATCACTATGCATGGGGGGGGAGAGGGAAAATCCAACAATTGTCATCAAGTCATAACGTTTCTAAGTGCTTTGAAATGTGTATGTTCAGTCAGATTTTAAAAGAAAATAATATTCCTTGGTGTTTGCTTTCTTTCAGCTAAACTTCAAGCCATATTTGGCTGAAGATCATTTGCTAGTTAGAAACTCAGGATAGCTTTGAGCATATGACATAATTGCATTGTTGGAAGAGGAGAATTCAGACAAGTCAACACCTGGCTGATAAATTGCTGGGAAGCTGCTTTGACCTTTCCAAATGAGAGGAAGCAAAAAAGTATCTAAAATAAATTACAGGTAGCCCTCGACTTAAAATAGTTCACTTTGTGACTGTTTGAAGTTATGACAACACTGAAAAAAGCGACTTATGACCATTTTTCACATTGACGACCATTGCAGCATACCCATGGTCACATGATCAAAATTCAGATGTTTGGCAACTGATTCATATTTATGTCAGTTGCAGTATCATGGGGTCATTGTGATCATCCTTTGCGACCTGACAAGCAAAGTCAATGGGGAAGCCAGATTCACTTTACAGCTGTTTTACTAACTTAACAATTGCAGTGATTCACTTGACAACTGTGGCAAGAAGGGTTGTAAAATAGGGCAAAATTCACAACAGCTGTTTTGCTTAGCAACAGAAATTTTGGGCTCAGTTGTGGTTGTAAGTTGAGGACTACCCATATAATAGCTCAGCAATTAAATACATACCAAAATACTGTAGAATCTTCATGTAATAGATAGCAATTAGGTACCAAGATACTGACTTTCATAGAGGGATTCTATAGATATTTCCAATTTTAATACAGCAGATAAATAGATATTTTAATCAGTCAATTAAAATAGACTTGCTGATTGATTGTGGGGTAATTCCAAGGCAGCTGTATTCTTTCAACTTCATTAATACAGTATATAAAAGTTAAATACTGTGAAATTCAACAAATACAAAGTGACTGTATTTATACAATAAAATAAATCAGAAGATTGTTTATTTGTGATTTAGGCTCTGAACACAAGCAATTTGACTTACAAACTTTTATGACGTGAATCAATCCATTGTGATTAAACCATGGCATTTTAACCATTGTTAAAACAATTTTGCTGATAAACTGTTGGGTAAGAATCTTGTGTGGGCTCTGATAGAATAACAAACACATTTGGAAGGTGAATATCAGAGAAGATTGAATTGCAGTATTTCAGCTAAAAATGAACTATGGAGATCACCTATTGAATCCATGATTTTTGGGGAATTTGATATACTTATTACCTACATCCATATTTTTTGTCCCTTTTGTCCCGGGCATAGATTTTAAAGAAATAATAAGCTTATTTTTTGCCCTCCAATATTGGAAGGTTCCAGAGAGTCTAAAAATAGCACTTCAATATTGCTTGGTAGTTACTTGAAGTTAGTGAAAAGTGACACGTGTGCAGAAAATTCCAGATATATCCCATCTTAGCTTCACCAAGAAGATCTTAACCAGCAGGGCTGGTTTCTCTGCCAAAGACCTTGGAGACCTTGCTGCTATTCAGAACATGTTCAAATAATTTTTTAGACTGATTTGGTGCATCAGTGCCTTGAGACAATGAAATGAACTTTTAACATGTATAACCTTTACCAAATGGAATCTTCAAGTTGAATCAATTTGACAATTTAAATTGCCAATTTAATTAGATTGGTTCAAATTACAAAAAACCA